AAGGGAAAGACAGATCGGGGTGTTCTTGGCTACTGCTGCTGCTGCCAGGAGAAGAGTGGCCCACAGGGCCCACCGGGGACGGCTCTCTCTGTGGTGAGGGCACAGGGTGCCCTTAGGACAGTCCGTGACCAGGACTATTCACCTCCGTAAGATAGAGAGCCAGTTTATTTCCTTAAGGGAAAAAAGTATCTCCTTTGACAATCTTTAACACTGGCAAGAAACCCCCTTAACTGAAAGCCACATGTTAGGACCTTCACTGTGGAGAATGGCTCTGAGCATGTGGAGGTGGACCTCCGCGTCTAAAGGCAGGTCAGTGGCAGTAGAGAGGATGAGAGTAGCTGCCTGGGCTGGACACCAGGGTAAAGACCAGCGGGGAAGAGTTGAAGGGACTAGGACTCAGGGAGCCTGAGGAAACTGAGCACAGAGAAAAGTGAAGAGCCTTAAAGTGACTGCTGAAGAAACCTGAAAAACACGTGGAGAACTACTTTGCAGGCCAACACAAGTTTTGAAAGGTTGGTGGCATGAGCGCTGTAGCTTCACTGTCACCTAGAGCCAAGCAAGGGCACTGGGTTAAGGTGAGGGATTTCTGTGGCTCCAGCAGCAGCAGCGTTCAGATTTGGTGTCGCAGCACGTAAGGGAGAATCTTGAGCCTTGCATCAACAAGCTAACAGGATAAAGTAATTCACAGCAAGGGGTGAGCTATATAACACACACTGCCAACACGGACGGCAGCCTGAGCGAGACAGAAACCTGAGAAAAGTGTTCCTGTTCCAAGAATGAAGTCTCGGTGCAAACACAGACTCAACTATCAAAGGCTGTGAAAACCGTCTTTTCTCTCGATTAGTCTGCCCACAGCTCCTTTACATATGTCATGACCCCAAAAGGAAGATCTCTTCAACTTTAATGTAAACACGGTGGAACTTCCTTTTGAAGAGACTCTCAGTTCACTTATCATGCTGGCAGCAACAGAAGTGAACTCCAGTTTGATTCCGACTTTGCCAGAACAAAGTTATTAAAGAGGAGGATGGTATTCTTGAAACAGATCAGTTTCCCTTCATCCTTCACGATCATATTTTGTGTGTATTATTCATATATCCTTAGTTATTATGCTGTCTAACATTAGCAACAAATCCTTTTACTGGCCTACATCTCCTTTTAGCTAAATCTTAACCAGGGAAGCTCTAGACTTAAAAATTGAAAGAGAAGATCAAAAGCTCACGATTCTTCATACTACACTGATCCTCTGTACACTGTGCAAGTCACTGGTGCTGTCTTTTACAAACTACTTTAAAACGTGACGGTGTCTATTTGGGAGCATCTTACTATGTCCTACTGATACAAGTATTGATAGTGACATTTGAATCAGTCATTTTTCATACCTAGCACAAAATCCCTTTTGATCAATACAGTTTGGATAGGTAGGCAGAGGGAGTATTAGGGTAACATAGCAAAAAGCAAGGAATCTTTCAAGCAGTTATTTTAACTTAACGTATAAACGTACAGCCACTCACCAACCATATGACCCTTTTACACAAACTGTCCTCTTAAACCTTCATGTTTGTGCGGTTTGCTTTCCTTGGGGCAGGGGAGGTGCACTTTATTGATGGTACATGACAAGGCAGGGCTCTCTAAGACCCACCCCCTCTCCAGGGGACCCGGAGTACAGTGTGACACATAAGTGGGGAAGAGCTCCCAGCAGCTCAGGGGGTGCCTCTTGTCCTCTGTGCTCACTGTCATAGCAGGAGATGAACTTGAACAACTGACCGCTGAGGAATGCCAGTGCCGCATCAACCCCTGCTTCACCTTCGTGATGATACTGTATCGATATTCAGTGGCTTTATCCAGGTGGCAGGTTGAGAACTAAAGCCAACACACTGGGGGTAGGGACACAGAAGGCACACCTGTGAGATTCCTGTTCAGCTCGGGGAGGACCTTGCCCACAGCCTAGGCAATCATCACCAGAGCTGCCCAGAGGAGCTGCTGAAGGTCTTCTGGGTGGCAGTGATGGCATGGACCATGGCCATGAGTGTGCCCATGATGCCAAAGTTGTCATGGAGCACCTGAGCCAAGGTAGCAAAGCAGTCAGTGGTGCGGAAGGTATTGCTGACAATCTCGAAGGAGCTGCCATATTCCTTGTGGTCACACCCATCACAAACATAGGGCACTGACAGAGATGACGACCCTTTTGGCCCCAGCCTACAAGTGAGTCCCAGTCTTCTCAAAGGTAGTATCGACAACACCAGTGGAATGTACAGTCACCTTTGATGCTGGATCGTGTTCCTCGAAGATGGAGATGGACTTTCCACTGATGACCAGCGTCCCACTCTTGGCCTTTACTGTGTTACTGAACTTGCCCTGGGTGGATGTATACTAGAACATGCAGACCATGCAGCAGAGGTAATGCAGGGACCATGATGGCAACTGTATACACTACCAGGGTTAAAAGCAGCCCCAGTGGCCAAGCCCAAACAGTCTGAACCTGTTCACTCTGCCCTTCATGGTGATGACTGAAGTAAGCGCTGGCCCTGAACAAGGAGAGGAGGGCTCTGCTGAACCCACGGGCGCAGAGCCGCAAGTTTTTTTTTTTCTTTTAAGTATTATTCTTATTTTCTTACTTGTATATATTATATATCAGGTGTAGTCCCCATAGAATTTCTACCACCAATTCAATGTGCACCATCACCTAAGTCCCTTGTGTTCTTCCCTGTTCTGAAACCTTCTCCTCCACCTACCCTGCAGAATGGCTCTGACTTTTATAGTTGTCTGATTATCTTTGTTCAGTTCTGTTGCATTGGTTTTCTTTCCTGATCCCTTATTTGGTTCCCTATCATCCTCCTATTAAGTGAAACCATCTGATATTTTCTTTTTCCTTCTGACCTATTTCACTGAGCATAATCCCTTCTAGTTTCATCCATGTTGCCACAAAGTTTTGTTTCTTCAATGAGCTACTGCAATGTAAATACAGATAGCATAAGATTTTTATGATTTTTTTCCCTAGTCAATCTTTTAATAAGCATGCCAGGTGATATAGGAAGTTTGGTTTCTCAGCACTATTACTAAGTCCTATTAATATTTTATAAGTGAATTTTTATTCCTCCAGGCAAAACATTCTAATATTTTGCCTCTTACTCTGCCTTTTTTGGTTATGTAACATTGACAAGACTTCCAAAGCAACATTACCAGTAATACTTCATAGGTTACACTGTAATTTTCCTTTGTTGAAGAGATGCTTTTCACTGTTTAGTACTAAGGACTTAACATTTGTATTACCAGAGAGTGTATTTAATTTTACTAGAAATACAGATGTAAGATACCATAGCTAAATGAACAGAATAGCTTCTCATTTTTTCTTATTTTTGAAGTGTTTGCAAATTATCCTTTATTGAAGGCTTAGAAAATGTTACCTGTGAATAAATTCAGATGATTACGGAATTTTTGATGGGATCTTTTTCTGAAAACACTTCTTAATTATGCTCTGCTAAGATTTCTTACTGTACAATTTGACTTTTTCTTTGTAATCAATACAACATGCATTTGTTGACATTTACAAATTAAGAACACTTATCTTTCAAAATATCTAACGCATTATGCTACTTCTTCTAGTTTCTTATACTATGGTTTACGTTGTTTCATATTTTTCTTCTCTTTATAAAAAATACTCAATTTTAACTTTGACATTTTTTCCCTATTGTAAAAATATCTTAGGTAATGGTTTAAGTTAAGCAGAAAATATAAGGGAGGCTTAACTGATTAGGTATGAATCATAGATGATTTAATATATTAATTTAATAACAAAACTAGTAATTGTCATCATCAGATCATTAGTCATAACATTACAAAACCATCTCTGCATCTAAGAAACTTAAGAAACTACATTAAGCCTTTCAATTTCTGGGAAATTGTCACAGTGGGTTGCAGATTATAAAAACTAAGTGTAGCTACAGTACACAGAGTTAATTATACTGGGGGGGGGGAATGCAAAAATATTTACTTTTTTGCTCACCCATGAAAATGTAATTCTTAATGAACTACTTAAGTCCCTACCACTACTGGAAGATGATTTTCTAGAATTTTCCCATATGTACCAATCTATTTAAATGTTAGAAACTTCGCTGGACACAAAAAATTAAGTGATGTATTTGTTACTTGATACTTCTCTGCATTTATAAATACCGCCTCTTCAGGTACTGCTGCCTGGAGGTCAGTTTTCTACTTTCTAGTACTAACAATCAGAAGTTTTAATGTTATTAGGCAAACTGAATGATTACTGAGCAGCCACCACAGGGGAAGTATTACAGTAGGCAGTATAGGAGTTGGAAGTGATCAGTAAGACAGGGTCTCTCACCTGGAGAACTCTGGGCAATTGACAAAGAAGTTTAGTAAAAGATGAGGTCACATGTAGTGAAGTAAATGCTAAGATTATGAGAAATGGGGCGGCTCATGTAGATAATGAGCTTAACATGGAACTTTTGAGAGAGTACTATCGATGGGGGGAAACGGAGGGAAAAAGATGTCTGTGGAAATGCCATGAATTAGGGTGCATATGCATGAAGCTATGAGATGTGGTTTGTGAAGCTAAAAATCACCCTAAAGGTGGAGAAGGCAGAGTTCAGGTGAATCAGCAAGGAACTAGCACTGTAACTCCCAAGAGAAATACTTTGCTTAGGAGGGGAGAGACTGACTGCAAAAAATGATTTAAAAAGGTAAAAAAAAGGAAAGTTTATGTAAATGGGGGTGGCAGGGTATAGGCAGATAGGCACAAGAGCTCAGAGAATATTTCTGGAGGAGTGTCATGGGAGAAAAACCTTGATTTGGATCATGAAAAGCTAGATAAGTGTTACAGAAGATGGACACTCGGGACTTCTTGGAGTAAGAATGTTCTGTGACCTGCAGGGAAGGAGAAGAGTATGTGGCGTGACATCCCATTTTGACACCCACATCAGAAAAGATGAAGCATATCTTCATACCTAATACAAAGGGAGGGTCACCATTTGCATTACCTTCTGGGCAATCATGTTGCAGATCTCAGGCAGGAAGTCCTCACTGAGGAGCTTGTAGAGCTGTTTCTCTCGAAGGGAGGTCCTCTCCCGAAAACTCTCAGTGACCTGTCTCCATTCTTCTTCTGTTTGGCACAGCAACCACCAAGTTCCTTGACCTGGCCCTTGGGACCCTATAAATAAAGGGTTGATTCATTCAAAAGATCCCTCTAGGATCCTAATCCTACTTACTCAATTTTGTTTTTGATTAAAACCAGGGAATCAGAGGAAAAGGAGAGCTATTATTTTTTTAATTTAAGGTCAGTAAAGATTTACTTTGGATTTTCCCATTATGATCACTATTCATTAAAAGTTAAAAGTACTTATACACTATGCAAAATTATTGTGATCCACACAGAATTTAATTTAACATCCGAGACTAAAACAGACATAATACCCTAGAAATGTTTAAGTCTGTTTTATTTTCCACAAATCAAAGAATGGCTTTGATTTGCATTTTTACAGTTTTCCCATTTCACTTATATTGAGATCTAGTAAACCGGGATGTCCCCTCCCTCCAACTTGTGCTATTTTGATTATAGAACTGATATCTAGGTAAGAAACCAGTGTGTTCCCATATGAAGCAGAACACCAAAAGAAGCTTCTCATTCTTTCGTTCATGGGGTTAACCATTCTGTGGCTCAAGTAAGAACAGGACGAGTGGCAAGAAAAGAGCAGAAAGAACTGAGGAAGGGCAAGGCAGTCTTCTTGGAAGGCTATTGCAACCCTCTTATTTCATGACTCTAGAGACAAGTCACCATCATATTGCAAATGCAGAATTCTTTGTAATTATTACCATTTCGTGTCTGCGGCTCAGATGCCAAGGAGCTTTCCTCCTGCTTTTCACTGAAACAAAGGAAAAAGAGGGATCGATTAAAACGACGACATGCTTCCCCTAAGAGGCTGACCCAATTAACTTAAAACAAGGGGGGTGGGGTGGGGTGGGGTGGGGTGGGGTGGTGGGTGTGTGTGTGTGTGTGTCAGGAGGATGCAGTTACTGGCTCAGAGTGGAAGTCCCCATCCATAGGAGTTTGTTGCTATGACAACATTGATGCACTGGAAACTATCAAGCACTTTTTTTAATAGTTTTAAAACACTTTGGGGCATCACCCAGACTTAGCTGGTAACAGTTAAAATGCCAAGAAAATCTACCCTTGATTCAAGGCTTACAGTGAACATAACACTTACTTTAATCTTATTTAAGTCAGATTTTAAAAACCTAACCGTCACCATTAGACCTCAGAAGTTAATTACTGTAAACTGAGGCTATTAATGTCTACCTTTTACAATATTGTAGATTACATTTAAAAAAATCTGCTCAAAAAAAGAAAAAAAAATCTGCTTAGCACAACAGTGTTAAGCATCACTATCATTCGTATCCCTAAGTCACAATGGACAGTTTCTGTGGATTTTTGGTTTGAGTTCAAATGTCTAAAATAGCGTTCTATAGACCTTTCCAAGAGTGGAAATGTTCTAGGTTGCTGCTGTCCAAAACAGTAGCCACATAGCCACACTGCAGTCACAGAGCTGGGACGGCAGCCAAAATAACTGAGGAAAGGAATTTTAAATTTTCTTTAATTGAAAAACATTTAACTGTTGTGTTGGACACACTGCTCTAAAGAACAAAATCACCAGTAGAGGGTAGCGCAAGTCCACACATGCTTATTAAAATGATTCCATATTGCCAGCACCGAGGAACTTGCAGGGAAAGGGAGACGGGAAGGGAGACGGGCACAAACCACTTTCTCTCTACATCAGATGTTGTCACTAAAACCCCAAAACAGATGTACGTACAGAAAAACACTGCTCAAAACTGCTGGGAAGAAAGCTACTATTTGTAGTCAAATTTCTGGAAAGTTAGTGCAACATGATTCTTCAGAGTAAAAAAAAAGTATTAAATTCTTATTTATTCATAATCTGATTCCTGGTCATACTTCTTAGTGATTAACAGAAACATAATGAAACCTGGCCTATTTCCAGCATCCACACTGTTTAGTAGGAGTTCCAATATTTTGAGGAAAGAAGCTGTCTTGTGTTATTAGAACTTATAAAATAAAATATGGTTGTACTTAGTTGTCTATTAATGGGCTGGTCTTGGAAGTATAGGTCAAATTCTACAAACTCTTACATAAAGATTTACAGGGTAGAATTCCTTAAAAGATAATAATAGTGCAGAGAATAAAATTCCCCAAATGTAGCAAATCAAACATGAAATGCTTGAGATCTTTTATTGTAGGAAGTTGTATTCTAAATAAAATAAAGCATGTCTGTGACTAAAATCTTAATGAAGAAAACATCTAAGCTCAGATATGATACATAATTCTACTAAAATACTGATTATTAGTCAACATTTAACCATAGGTTTGACTTACTCTACATAGCTATTAAAATATGCATGGTAGAGTGAATTCTAAGATACTACTGCTTGGGCAGCTACTAAGGGTCGTGGCTAGTTTTTGATTCTTTATGCTATCACATGTGTGGTCTTGTTTAATTAATCCTCTTTACTATCATTCCCATAGTTAAGTCAGAGAACAGGATTAGTGGGTAGCAATATGGCAGAGGGAGGGCTTTGACAGTCTGGGCTTCCGGACTGTCCAGGACACATGCCATCGCCCCAGTGACTGATCAGGGGGTGTCCATGAACTCAGCCCCATGTCTTCCCCGTGCCCATGTGAAGTGAAAATGAAGGAAGAAGTGAAACCAAGGTCCTTTCCAGCATGAGGGACTATAGCCATCACAGAGTATTTTTCTTACCTCACTGTAATTTCCTCCTGTAGTTTCTTCCGTTTTGGGGGTCTTCCTCTTCTTTTTCCTGTTTTCCCTGGAACACTTGAGACAGTCTTTTGTCCTTCACTTTCCCTAAGAAACAGTGCATTAAGTAGAAGTCTTCTGGCACAGGACTGACATGTACCATCTGATTTTTAAATCAGTAGTTTTGCTCATCTGGCAATAAGGTTACAGAAAAGGCTAGATGAAGTAACCACAGGTAACAAGAGCAGAGACTTCCGGTTTCCTGCCTTCCTTATTAGAATGTGGGACCAGGGGAAGCTGACATGTTATAGTAGTAGTAAGATCCGAGTGAAGACCCTACTGACACTGAGCACTGCTCCAAGTAGTAAAAAATCTAAATAAAACAACAATGGTAGTTTTCCTCTGGAAAGGAGGCCTCTTCCTTCTAGGAAGCTTTCCGTAGGCTTATTTTTCATGTAACCAACCACTAATGTGGACTTTGACAGACGGAACAGAGCACAGATTCCAGTAAAAGGAATCTCAGAGAACTGCAGAGTGAAATGGATGCAGTCGGATGCAGTCAGTGAGGGGCGCGGGCGGCACCGACCATCCATGGCATATACCGGCACCTCAGACCAAGAGCCATGTATCAGACGCCACCTATTCAACACCTTAGGTCAGAGGCTGCACATGAGAATTCCTATGTGAAATAACTACTTGCCATCTTGTAGACATGCTATTTTAACTAATTCCTTCAAAAAAGCAAACACACCAGGCTGCAGAATGCCAATGTAACTCACTCAATGGGCACTGTCATACAGAACCCACCATAGCCCCGACTTGAAAAAGGTACCTGTTCAGAGAGAGCTCTCCATTGGGTTTCCCTTGTACCGGGTCTTCCTTATACATCCGTGTTCCATAGAAATACCAGTAGAGTGCTCCAGAATTGTCTTCACCCAGCGGCTCCACCCGAAGGCTGTCTGCATCCAGACCCTAGGTTGAAGGCCAGGAATAAGGTATGGGAAACAAAACTAAGGATTCCAAATATTATGCAGATGTTCCTATTTTAAAATGCCCAGTGTCTTATGTTATTGCCCATCTGGCTTATTAAACCAAGAATGCCAAAGTGCTACCTTCTTTGATAAACAAGATGTGTAATAGTTCAAATGCTTCCCATTCCCATCAATGTCCTTTTACCAAAAGAAGAAGAAAAAAAAAGAAACCAAAAGAGGTTTTGAATAACATATTGCAGATCTGGTTGGAGTCAGTGTTATTTTATGTGCCTCCATAAAAGGAAAAGGTAATTACAATTGAGTGGACACCGATGTGAGTGTGGTCCCACGTGATTCTTTACTCTGGCTCCGTAATAACCCGGAGCAATCTCTTATTCCAGCTGAGATCCACCAGTACAGCTCCCAATTTACCCCAGGGTCTGACCTGTACTGGCCTTGCCACCGCTACTGAAGTCCTTGAATTCTCAGCATAGACTGTGAAAATCGCCCCCAATGATTTTTATGTGTCCACGAGCATGGCTGAACTGAGAAGCCATCAACACATTTAATCAGTGCTGACTCAACAGGGTTAGAAACCTGCACTCCTGGGAATAAAAAAAGCAATAGCCACACCCTTCCTTTGAAACAGGTACCATAAGATGGAAGGGAAGAGCTGTCCTCACCTTCCTTCCCAAAACAATTTTTGTTAACATGTATGTAAAGTGTATCTATAGTAGGGATGAACTTCACTGCAAGGAAGTTAAAGTTCTTGGGAAATAAAATTCAGTGACTGACTGTAACTCTGCTATCTGGCTTCTGACAAGGAGAGCACACAGGGAGCTCTTAATTGTTCCTGTTAGCTGGGACTCAATGGAATGCATGTAAAGGAAGATTAAAAACAAACCAGAAATTAAATCAAAATAACATATAAACAGAGTTAACAAAAGCCAAACTCTACTTTGCTTAATATCTTCAGATTTATATCCTGAATTTTGTTTGTTTGTTTAGGGAAAGGGCTTCCCAAGTAGAACACCTTGAGGAGATCGAAGACATCGTCTGCATCCAGCCGGTAGTCACAGAGGCGGTGCAGTATCTCCACGCGGGTGCGCAGAGGCAGGTCCTGGAAACTGGCTTCTCTCAGGGGGTTGGGTTTTCCTTCTTCAAGCTCCCAGCGGTAGTTTATGATGTCTTCCAGGTAGCTGTGGAATGTCTGAGGCCTGACCAAATGGCCCCAAACATAAAAAATACATTAATAAAGAGGATGGAGGGGCAAGGGGAGAGAGAACAATGGTCTGACAGCTGACAAACTTTGGAGAGCAGGAAATGAAAAAAAAAAAAAAACAAACAAACCCACTACTAGGAATTGTTTTGCACTTTACACTTATAGAAGCTTCATTTCACTATACTGTTACATGGACAGTTATATTCTGCCAAATCCTGAAGACAAAAGTTATTAAGAACAGCACATTCTGGTAAAATAGGCAAAAACTAAGCAACAGTGTAGGTTGTGAAAGTAAGGCACCAGTCTTATCTCTGCCCATTAAGGAGATAAATACTAGGATGGGTGTTCAGTTCAAAATTAGGTCCCTGTCCTAGGAGGCAAACAAAGAAACTTGGCCTGCCTACCTATTCATTTACACTTTAGGTTAAGAAGCAAAGGTGGGAAATTTTTCTCCAGACTATAAAGCAGCCACTCCAAAATGTGACTATAATTTTATATTCTATTAAATGTAAATGTTAGGGCATGTTGTAAGATACATTCTAAATTGTGAAGGCAGTTTTTCCATAGGAAATTTTAAGACAACTTGATGGAAACAATTTTTTTTTGGTTAGAGCAAAGCCAACTCCACCATTGCATTTTGGACAGACTGGTACCTTGCAGTAGTCAATATAATAAAGGGTTGTTTAGTTGCTAAAAGTTATTCTATATCTTAACCACTAAAGAATGTGGATAAGGAGCCTCCCTGGTGGCACAGGAGTTAAAGATTCAATGCTATCTAGCTCTCACCAGCCACTGTAGCATCCCCCAGCCAGGGAGCTGACCCATATGGCATGGCAGACCTCTCCTGTCTCACCCTCTGCTCCCCTCAGCAGTGTACTTCAGTAGATCTGCCTGTTCTGCTCCCCACTCTGTCTCTGGAGAATCCTCTTACCCCATCACCCATACTACTTGCCCATACCTCAGTTCTTATATACATAAATAAAATTACTCTTTAAGAAAAAATATGGATAAAAGTTTACTTTAAACAAACTTGATTTAAAGTTTTTCCCCTCATTAAGCACTGGGGTCTATGTGAATATAATTTTAAAAAGATGTATTTACCAAACTGCCATAATCTATAGGAGTTATATTAGTGGAAAATTTCAGAGGGAATATTCATGGAGGGAAAAAAGTCATCAGATCTTAGGCAAATAAGAAAGGAAACACTTTCCTTTTCAGAGAGAAGAAACTTTATTATTACTATTGCTATCGCTCTGAAGAAAATGTGCATAGTGAAAAAGCAGAGTCTAATTATCAAGGTTTTGACAAATTTCACAACAAGGCAGAAGCAGTGACAGGTGTGTCTATGTGAACCTCAGTGGGTTTGGACTGGTTTCCTCTCCACTGCCTGGTGCTTCCCAAGGAAGGGTGGACCTGGGCAAAGAGTAGTTCAAATGGTGGTAAGAAATGTTAAGATCATCTCACAGAATAGCAGCACAGCTAGGAGATGCAGCAGGAGCTGGCTGGCCAGACAGAGACTTTTCTTGCTCTCACATGATGTAAAGAGAGTACATGCATGCCAATCTAGCAAACACTCGGTGCAAACTGTGTTGTTCTGTGTGCCTACACTCTGATAGCCCCTACTTGTCTCAGAGAATTGCATGTTTGAGATTCCTTTCCAATAACCCTACTGTCCTTCTCAGTTTCAATTAGATCACTTTTGCTAAAAATTTTTCATAAGGCAACTCCATACCACCCTACCAAGAGATATTTGAGGACCTAACCTCAAGACAATTCATTTTCCTTGTATATAATAAACTTCATAGAAAGCCATTAGGCTAATAATTTCTATTTACAGCCCTTAACCTTTTACAGGACATAAAATCCCTTAAGAATCTAACTGAGGGCCCATCCTGGTGGTGTAATGGGTTAAAGTACAGCACTATGAAGCTATCTATAGTCACTGCAGTTAGATTTCCCAGCCAGGGAAGTGACCCACATGGGGCAGACTTTTCCTGTCTTGCCCACTGCTCCCCTCAGCAGTGTATTTCAGTGGATCTGCCTGTTCGGCTCCCCACTGTCTCTGGTGAAGTCTTTCCCCACCCCTGTACCTCTGACTTGTACCCAGTTCATGAATGCATAAAGACTGGAACATTCACTTAACTTACTCATGCAGCCTAGTGCAATCCTCTTTTAATTACATAAATGTGTCTCATTTTCCTGAATTATAACATTTCAGTAAAATTTGGTTAACAAAAAGGTCGAACCAACTGAAGTCCTAAACACAACCAGGTTTTTTCTGAAAAAAAGTGCCAGGTGTCCCTGGGGAGCTGGTGGCCAAATGTCAGCTACCACTGCTATGGCCTTACCCCCACCTCCAGCAAGGGTAGTGACCCCCATGGCTCAGCAGACCTCTTCTGCTAGCCCGCTGCTCCCCTCAGCAGTGGATTCCAGTCAATTGCCTGTTCTGTCTCTGGTGAATTCTCTCACCTTTGACCTATATCCCAGCTCTTATATACATAAGTGAAATAAATCTTAAAAAAAACAAAACAAAAAGAACAGCAAAACTAGAAACAAATGTTGACAAGGATAAGGAACAACTGGACTATTTGTATGTTGCTATTAGGGGTGTAAATGTTGAGAGCTGCTTGTAAAAAAGGTTTGCAGTTTCTGCTAAACATGGAGCTTCCCTACGACCCAGCAATCCCACTCCTAGGTATCTACCCAAAAGACACAAAAACACTGATTGAAAAAGATACCTGCACCCCCATGTTTATTGCTGCTTTATTTACAATTGGAAAAACATGGAAGCAGCCCAAATGCCCAAAAGTAGATGACTGGATAAAAAAGATGTGGTACATATATACAATGGAATATTACTCAGCAACCAAAAAAGAGAAACACATGTCTTTTGCAGCAACTTGGATGGAGCTGGAAAAGATCATGCTTAGTGAGATAAGCCAGAAAGAGAAAGAAAAATACCGGATGTTTTCAGTCATAGCAGGAGTATAATGGACCAGGCGAGAAAATAACAAGAATAATGAACAGCCATATACCAGAGACATTTTGTGGGGGTGGAGTGGGGGGAAAGGGGCGGGGAGTGCATGGGATTATGGTGATGGCACACGAGTGACTTGGTGATGGGAAAACCGCGGGGACTACAATTGGGATGGGGGGGGGAAATGTAAAATAAACTGTTATAAAAAAAAGTTTGCAGTTTCTTAAATTTTTTTATGCTCTTAATTACCATTTGATCCAGCAATTTTCAAGAGAAATGAAAACATTTCCACAGAAACATTTTGTATACAAAGTAACTGCTTTACTCATAATTGCCTCAAATTGGAATATAAAAGCCTATTGACTTAGCCCAGAATTTTTTTTTTTTTACAGTGGAATATAGTTGAGACTCCCTGCTCCCCCGAAAGGAAAAGCTACTGATTAAAAACAGCAATATGGATGGATATTATCAGCTGACTAAAAGAAGCTGCCCAATATATACCATATGATCTCATTCACACAAAATTCTGTAAAATCATAAAATGTGGCTACAGTATGTATACATTTGTCAAAAAGAAAAAATCAGCCTGTACACTTATGTCGTGTTTTTTATCTAAATTATATCTTAGATCCCAATAAAGATGAATTTAAGTAAAAGTACTTAAAGGTCCTAATTTCTAAAGATAAATGCTTCTATATTAGAGCAGATGAGATTACAAAATACTAAATATATATTTACGTGAAATTAGAGAATATATTATAAATTGTTTGAAACATGACCAACCCCAAGAAATTAAATTTATGTTTATGAATTTCTCCTTCGAGTAGAAATCTTAAGTGAAGCAAAGATCATAATGAAACATGAATTAATTAAGCTATATAAGTAGGAGAAATGGGAAAAAAATCTTTGGCATCTAATATCCTACAATGACCATTCGATGGAGTGATGTATTAACATACTGCTTAACCCACCATTCAAGACAGTGATGCAACCCTATCTTCATTTTTGATGGCTGAAAGCAAACCAGAAGCCTGACAGCCAATCTAGTGCTCAATAAAGTTAAGCCACTTCCCAATGAAGAAAAAACCTGCTGTAAAGCGCAAGGAGCTGATGACTTATTTTAAATACTGAACGTTTTTACTGACTATAAACTCATAAAACCAACTAGAGTTCCAATTCCAGGGGAGACATAGGAGAAAGAGGGCACTGTGAGAGCTATGACTTACAAATCAAATTTCTTGCTGTAAGTTATTTTTAAACTATTTTTACTACAGGTGACATTTGGACACCTCTGACCGGGCTCACCACCACCATCACCCAGAGTGCCACCTTCCCTTCTTGTTGATGCCCCTCCACCAGACTGCTTGTTAAGTTTTCATACTGAGGGGGAAACAGGCACACTCTTCAAAACTAAAACAGAATTTTCCCACTGTCAAAAGTGTGAGAAATGGAAAATATCTCTGTTGAATCCTCTCACCCCCCCCCCGAGCCTTAGACCTGTACCCCAGTTTTTATATAGATAAATAAATAAATCTTTAAAAAGAACTGCCAACTTATACTGTATTCACTTATGAAGCAGGCTGCAAAAATACAGGGAAGTTTTCCATTTGCAGGAATCAACTATACAACAGATCTACAGATATTTCAAAATAACATTTATAATCATAAATACTTTAAGATAGTAATCTGGAGAAATTAGGTCAGCTGCTAGAGAATGTAATTTCATGAGTTAATATAGCTTATCACTGTATGAAAAATTTGTTTCTCTTTTACTAGCTCTAAGTATACTCAAGTATAATGGGTTCTGTTGTAATCTTGGTTTTATTTTGGAGAATTTTATTCTCCATTAAGAATAAACCATATATGGGCCTCCCTGGTGGCAACAAGAGGTTAAGCACAGCACAATGATG